CCAAAACTGAACACAGTACTCGAGGTGTGGCCTCACCAGTGCCGAGTACAGGGGCACTATCACCTCCCTGGTCCTGCTGGCCACACTATTTCTGATACAAGCCAGGATGCTATTGGCCTTCTTGGCCACCTTGGCACACTGCTGGCTCATGTTCAGCCAGCTGTTGACCAACACCCCCAGGTCCTTTTCCACCAGGCAGCTCTCCAGCCACTCCTCCCCCAGCCTGTAGCATTGCATGGGTTTGTTGTGACCCAAGTGCAGGACCCGGCGCTGAGCCTTGTTGAACCTCATACAGTTGGCCTCAGCCCTTTGATCCAGCCTGTCCAGATCCCTCTGTAGGGCCTTCCTACCCTCCAGCAGATCAACACTCCCACCCAACTTGGTGTCATCTGCAAACTTACTGAGGGTGCACTCGATCCCCTCATCCAGATCCTTGATGAAGATATTAAACAGAACTGACCCCAATACTGAGCCCTGGGGAACACCACTTATGACTGGCCCCCAACTGGATTTAACTTTTAAATTTTAAATTCAGTCTATTAAGGCTGGATTTATAACTGGCACCCTTCCCGTAAAACTCAATTTGTTACAATTTTTAATATTGATTTGATACTACCAGTGGATCTACGAGCAGTAATTAAATGTAATGGGGCTTTAATACATCCAGAATATCTTCAAAGGAGGCTAGTGAGTATTACTCACATCTCAATCCATTTAACAAATTGCTAAGCGGAATCCACTATATAATTACAGTAATTGGAGAAAGTAAGGGGGAATTTTTGAGCCTACTGTACTGTGAAGAAAGGATAAAAATGTCAACACCTGTGACCATATCTTTAGCTGACATAAATTACATAGTTTCTTTTTTTTTTTCCCCAGCATCACATCTTTGTTAATTGTGTAAATGCATAACAGAATGATGGACTCGATTCTCCTGGGACCTTACATTTTCAATTACTATAATCTTATAACTGCTTCTTTCTAAGGATTTGTAAAATGGATTTGAATACCAGTAACATTACCTACTTCTCTTTTGAAAGTAGTTTCAAAATAGTTAAGGCTACCTTATGTTTCAGGAAAGTGATTATACCTATTTCTGATATTACATTATAATTACATAATATTACACATTTTGTTCTATACGATGTGGCCATCTTAATTACTACTGGTTACTTTAATAGCAGATGAATGCTTGTTTACTCTAATTCTGATTTCAGAGCTGTTTTGTTGTCCTAAAAATGAAGATCTGACCTATAAGGTATTAAGTGTTTGACACCATTTGTTTATATAGGATACTAATACACGGTTCAACACATAGCTGACTCTGAAGCTAAAAGAATCTTTAAAATAAAGTTCAGAACTAAGTGTATAAAATACTTTAAAATTTAAAATCTAAAACAAAAATAAAACCACTTTAATTTTTTTCCTTAAAAGACTGTCGCTTCCACTTCCAAATTGTGATATTTCCAGTGGCCACCCTTCATATTGTCACTAAACAAGAGGAGCTAAATGGTGTCACAGATTTTAGA